CAGGTGATCCAGCAAGGGTGACACTTAACATCTGTTACAACAAAAGGTAAGAAAGCAGGAGCAGAAGGCTGAGGGCAGTCGCCCCTATAAAAAGTCACAACCCTTTGCTCAGTTTTCAGACCTGAACCAATTTTCAGATGTGGAACTCATTGAATAAAGAGAGCTGACCATGGCCAGATGCAGTGGCTCACAGCTGTAATCCCAGCACTTTGGGAGGCTGAGGTGGGAGGATCATTTGAGGACAGGAGTTCCAGACCAGCCTGGGCAACATAGTGAGACCCCGGTCTTTACAAAAAAATTTTAAAAATTGGCTGGGTGTGGTGGCCCATGCCTGTAGTCCTGGCTACTTGGGAGGCTGAGGTGGGAGGATCACTTGAGCCCAGGAGTCCAAGGCTTCAGTGGTGAGCTATGATGGTGCCACTGCACTCCAGCCTTGGTAACAGAGACTCTGTCTCAAAAAAAAAAAAAAAAAAAAGAAAGGCAACCAGTTTGCTAGATGAAAGGACCCTTCAGTATCATGGCATGTATAAATTGTGATGCTTCCCCCAATCCTTCCCCAAAGGCACCTATGGCCACTTACTCAGGTGACTATACATGGGGGAAAGAGAAATACTCAGGCAGTTCAAGGATTATTGGACAAAAGTTCTGAGTTGACATCAAAACTCAGAAACCCAATCATCATCATGGCCTACCTGTTAGAGTAGGGGTTTGCAGGGGCCAGGCAGAGTCCTGGCTCAAGTCTAGCCACAGTGGGCCCACTGGCTTTGCAGATCCATCCAGTGGTCACTTTCTTAGTCCTAAGTATATAATTGGTATTGATATACTTGTCAGGAGTAATTCCCTCATTGGATCCCTGTGGGGTAAAAGGTCTCGTAGTGGGGAAGACCAAATCAAAACCTCTGAAATTGTCCTCTACCCTGGCCAAAATGGTAAATCAAAAAAATATGCAAAATTAAAATACAAGCTGCAGACTGGGAAAAGTATTTCCAAATAACATACCTGATAAAAGTCTTATATCCAATGGTCATATTGTGTACTGTACCATCCAGAGGCAGCCAGCGTCACAGAACACTGGAACAGCCTTCCAAAGACATAGCTGAAATACTAGCTTGGAGACAATACTCTCAAACGATGGGATGCCATCCCACTTGCTCCCATTGACCCCCCAGGTGGATATCGTGCTTCCCATTCCTGCAACTCAGGGCTCTGCAGAGTTGGAGATCCTGGTCCCCAAAGAGGACATGATTTTTCCAGGGGACAAAGAAAAGGTCCCAGTGAACTGTAAATAATGGCTGCCACCTGGGTGCTTTGACCTCCTTGTGCCCGGACCAGCAGATTTGAAGAGGAGTCACTGTGCTGGCAGAAGTGATTGACCCTGGCCAGCAGGAAGAGATAGAGCTGCTTTGACACAATGAGGACAGAGGCAATATGTGTGGAACCAAAGTGATATGGATGGATGCCTCCTGCTACCCCATTGCCCATTGCAACTGTGAACGAACACATGAAATGCTCCTGTCATGAAAGGGATTGGAATATCAACGGTTCAGGGCCCTCAGGAATGAGGTTTGGGTTACACCATCAGGTTAGCCATCAAGACCTGCTAAGGCAGGAGCCAAGAGTCAGGTAAATTTAGAATGGAAAGTGGAGGACAGAAAGAACGAATACCAGTCACAGCCCCAAGATCAACTGCAGCAATGGGGGTTGTAGTTTATCCCTCTAACCTTCCCTTTTCCAGGGTTCCACTCAGGATGAGAGGCCATGGAGCTGCTCCCCAAACCTGTGTGAAGAAGTAGATGTGGTGCAGGGGGTGGGCTGAAGTGGCCACAGTTGGGCCTCTCAGGTCTCCTGGGGAAGGCACAACTGCCCGATGTCCCCAGCTGCTATGCTCTGAGATCCCTCACCACATTAATGCCAAGACTACACTTCCCATGAGCTGCTTGCAGGTGATAACTGAACACAGGAGGGATTACTAAGCAGACCTGTTCCTTAGAGATGCAGGACTCCTCTGTTGCGTGACTTTGGCTTGAGTGCTCACCATCTGCCTTGTTGAAACTTTCTTAGAGTTGCACAGAAGTCTAAGACCTTCCTTCCCTCTCTCTTTCACAGGGGTCAGACCTGTACCACAGTCTGATGGGTCTCCTGGCCTCCTCTACTCGCCCCCTAATCGATCCTTTGTCCATCTAATCCCATTTTGGCATCTGCTTCTTGGAGGACATGAACTTAACACAACCAGTCATAGACTTAGAGTTCAGTGTTTTTTCACAAACCGAACATACTCATGTAATCAACACCCAGATCAGGAAACAACATGAGAGGCACCCCAAATGCCCCCTACTGTGCTACCTCCTACTTCCTACACCTCAAAGAGAATCACTACTCTGACTTCCTACATCCTACATTAGTTTTGCCTGTCTTTGAACTTTCTATGAATTAAATCTCATAGCATGTTTTGTTCAGAACTGTGAAGGGTCTGAGATGTTACCCCACTCACACCAATTTGTATTTTTATGCCTGAATATTGAAGAAACATGAGGCCTCTAGGTCAAAGGAAAGAGTTCTTTCTTGATACTCACCACCAGATTGACAGCCAGAGTAAGATCGCTTCATCAGTTACAGGCAAGGCAAAGAGAGACAACTGGAAACTTTCCGCATGAGTGCCAGGTTACACCCCATAAATGGCATGTGGATAACAATGGATTTGCTCCATTTATATGTAAAGGAGAGGAACATTTGCCTTCTGCTCCTCCCTCTTAAAAGGAGTGAGGAAAACCTCTGCTCCCTGGAGAGAGAATGGAAAGGATCTTAATTCTTACTCTAACCTGTTGAAATTATAAATACATCCCTTCAGAAGCTGGATAAGCCCAAGTATCTTTGGCTTTATGACCTAGAGAGTCTGGACTTCATCTCTTCTGATAGGTAAATACTTGGGGAGATAGTACTCAGTCCTTCTTGAACCTTGGGAACTTAACCCACAGGCCTAGTCTGGGTTATAAACATTTGGTTTTCTTAGGGAGATAAGTTTTATTATCCTTTTGGACAAGACAATTTAACTTGACAAATGTCTACAGATGAAAGTATCATGGTGTGCAAGAAATAAAATATTTCTAGGGGAAGTGATAGCAAATATCCCCTACCTTTATATCCTATAAATTTCCACATTTCAAGAGGTTAGGGCTTTTTCAAGGAGCACTTCCAGGGCAATTTTATTAATATTCGTCCCACACAGTATGCTTTATTTTGTGTCTGGCTTCTTTCACTCAACATTATGTTTGTGAAATTCATTCATATTTTTGTGTGAATGTTCATTCTTATTGGTTTACAGAATATATCATAATTTATCCATTCTATTTATGGTGGGGATTGGGAAGTGCAAAAATTCACCAAGTGCAAAGATAGGGAGCAACCCACAAGACTGCCCTCACTTCTGACTCCAATTACAAGTTCGGGGCTTCCAAAGACTGCCCTCAGGTTTGGTAATTCATTAGACGGATTCACAGAACTCACTGAAAGCTTTATAACTCACAGTTACAGTTATTACGGGGAAAGAATACAGATTAAAATGAGCCAAGGGAAGAGAGACACAGGGCAGAGTTTAGGAGAGTACCAAATGTGGAATTTCCAGTCATGCTCTTTTGGAGTCAGGACAGCATCACTTTCCTGGCATCAATGTGTGACAGTATGCACTGGGTATTGCCAACTAGGGACACTCCTGAGCCTCAGTGTTCAGAGTCTTTACTGGGGCTCCATCACATAGGCAGGGTTGACTGCTCCTGTGGTTGATACCAATTTCCAGCCCTCAGGAGGTTGTGCTGTTACCAGGTGAACCAAAGTCCCCACCCTAAATCACATTGTTACTACCTGCTGGCCCAAGACTTCCAGGCAAAGATGAACGCTTCTGTCAGCCGTGACATTCCAAGGGTTTAGAGATTACCTCCCAGAAGCTGAGGGCCAAGTCCAGACCTCTCTTTGGACAAGGTTAATTTTTTTTTTACCATACAAGTAGTTTCTAATTTTTGCTGATTATCAGTAGTACTGCTATGAACATCTTTATATATCGTATTGTTACATTAATATTTTGTCTGTTTGTTCTATCTGTTACTAAGAAAGATGAGTTAAAATTTCCCACTCCGATAGTGGGTTTGTAAATTCTCCTTATAGTTTTATCAAAATTCAATTTATATTTTATAGCTGTATTATTAGGTTTAAAATGGTTAAATCTTAGTGAATTGAATCTTTTGTAAATATGTAGTAACCCTCTGTTCTATTCACTATGGTTGCATAACATATCATCCCAAAACATGATAGCTTAAAATAAGAATAGTTTTATTATCTCATGTTTTCTGTGGGTTAAAATTTGTTGATGTGCTCAGATGAGTGGTTCTGTCTTGAGGTCTTTTATGCAATAAAATCTGGAATAGTGCGGGGTTAGAGAAGCTGGGGGATGGCTGGACATCTCTCTTAGTTCTGGTAATCTCAGCGCTTGTCCATGTAGATTACCTTTGTGGACCAGTTTGAGCTTCCTCACAATATGGCTACCTTAGAGCAGTGGGACTGCTTACATGACAGCTCAGGACTCCAGCTAAAGTGTTCCAGAGAGCAAGGTGAAAGCTGGAATTGTCTTTTCTTCTAGAGTCACATATCATCACATCTGCATTCTGCCACTTACAAGCATGTCACAAACCTGCCTAGATTCAAAGGGAGGGAAATTAGACTCATTTCATCATGGATGAATGACAAAATTATAGAAGACCATGGTGGGACAGTAGGTATTGTTGCTGCCATCTTTGAAAATGCAATCTGACATATCTTCTTTATCTGAATTAATGCTTTTTACCTAAGACTATTTGATCTGATGTTAATATAGCTAAACCAAACTTTATTTTGGTTGGTATTTATCTGTTGTATCTTTTCCTTTTTCCTTTCTATCTTTTTGTATCCTTATGTTATAGGCATGTCTCTTGAAAACAGAATATAGCTGGATATTTTTAAAATCAGTCTGGCTCTTTCTTCAGCCTGTTTTGCTTCAGCTCGCGGCCGATCGCACAGCATGAAGTGAAGTGAGAAGGCCCCGCGCGACCACGCACACCACAGCCGTTCTGAAGCTCGGAACCCTAAAATGGCAGAGCAACTTTCTCCAGGAAACACTGCAGACCAGGTGTGCACCTTCCTCTTCAAAAAGCCTGGGCGGAAAGGCACTACAGGCCTCAGAAAGCGCCCGGCCTGCGACCCAGAGCCCGGAGAAAGCAGCAGCAATAGTGATGAAGGCAGCACTGTGGTTCGACCCGAGAAGAAGCGGGCGACCCACAATCCAATGATACAGAAGACCCGCGGCAGTGGTAAACAGAAGGCGGTTTGCGGTGACTTGAGTAGCGAGGAGGAGGAGGCGGAGAATGAGCCTGAGAGTCTCGGCGTGGTTTATAAGTCCACCCGCTCAGTGAAGCCCGTGGGGCCAGAGGATATGGGGGCGACAGCTGTCTATGAGCTGGACACAGAGAAGGGGCGTGATGCACAAGCTATCTTTGAGCGCAGCCATAAAATCCAGGAGGAGCTGAGGGGCAAGGAGGATGACAAGATCTATCGGGGAATCAATAATTATCAGAAATACATGAAGCCCAAAGATAAGTCTATGGGCAATGCCTCTTCCGGGATGGTGAGGAAGGGCCCCATCCGAGCGCCTGAGCATCTACGTGCCACCATGCACTGGGATTACCAGCCCGGTATCTGTAAGGACTACAAAGAGACTGGCTTCTGCGGCTTCGGAGACAGCTGCAAATTTCTCCATGACCGTTCAGATTACAAGCATGGGTGGCAGAT